ACACACACACACACATACTCTAACTTAGCGCCCCTGCTTCCCAATGCTGGGCCCCACGAGGGGATGGCAAGCAGGGACAGTCCCTGGCTGGCCAGCAAGTCCAGTGCAATCAGCAGCTCCAGGTTCAGTGAGAGACCCAGTCTCAAAAAGTAAAATGGAAACTTACTGAAGAGAACACCAGATGTTGACTGACCTCTGCCCTCCACACACACGTGTGCACACACCATGTGAACCCACCCACCCAAGAAAAGGAAATCTATTTTGATGTGGATTCACAATTATTTAAAAATATAGATAAGAATAAAGTATATGAAAGTATATTCTGCATACACAACTTTTCCTATACCTTCCTCAAGTTGAAGAGGATCCACTCTAGCAAGATGGTGACTATAAGCTATCCTACAGTCTCTCAAGCTATCAGATCATTGCTCATATTATAGTGGTCAGAATTAAAGTTCTTGGTCTTAGGCTCTCTGCTGGAACAAACCAACAGTCAGTACTCCAATGGTTCCCTTAATCTTCCTTATGATCCACTGTACTCTGTGTCAACTAGGCCACCAAACTATGATTGGCTAAATGAGCAACTATGACTAATTCACTCCAACTTGCATCATTCCAATGGTGAGATGCAAGCAGGGCCTGGCTGCACACCTACACCAACCTGAAAAATGGTTCCAACACAGCACGCCAGATCAGTGTCCTCCCTCTACTTGCAATTATAATTTCTCTTCATGGGACACAGTCCTGGCTCCATAAAAGCAAGAAAACACAAGGAGGACTGGGTGAGCTCAAGGTATAAACACAGGATTGGAAAGATAGTTCTGTGGTTAAGGGCAGAGGCTCCGAGTTCAATTCCTATCACCCTCACAAAGGCTCAAAACTGTTCACTGCAGTCCCAGAGGATCTGATACCCTCTTCTGACCTTTGAGGGCTCCATGCATAGATGCTTATGATGTACATACACACATGCAGGCAAAATCCTGATATACATAAAGTAACTAAATCTAAAAAGAAAAATTTGTTTTAAAAAGATTAAAAACAGACACACAATCAGCTGAGGCAAACTGATTAGCAGCAAAGTAAATTTTCTAAAGTGCAGCATGGAACCTCAGAGTTCAGTTTCCATTTGTCCAAATTACCTGGGGTGTATTTGCGGACCCAAGTATCCTAAGTATGTAGTGAGCTTCATCTGTGGCTCTCACAGGAGCACAGTTCTTAAAATGAATCCAAATTTCCAAAAAAGTTGCATCCTCTAGTGAATTCTAAGATGTCTACGAAATAATTCTCTCTAATCAGACTACTAGATTTTGTATACATTGACGCCCCTAAACTTCATGAAACACTTCCTACTAAATACCACAAGGACATTCATTAAAATGATATTAACTTTAACACAGAAACTTGGAACATTCTTTCTTCTGCAAAGAGTAGCTTTCCAAAGCATTCTGACATATTGCCCAACAACTTAAAAAAAAAAAAAAAAACAGGTTGGGGGTCCATGGGAAGAAAAACAAAGCATAAATGTAATCAATGCACCAAATTAAGGCTTGGCGCACACATCAAATAAAAGTGCTACCCTTTAACATAAATTTCTGAGTCTTAGGGTTGAAAACAGTAAGCCCACACACAGGCCAACAGCAATGTGAAGTGGGTAACCACACTGATAGATTATGTAGGAGATCAGATGTCTACTACAGGGCTGAAGTCTCATCAAAAAGAGTAAACTGAGACCCTGGGAGGTGCATCACGATTGCTAGTCTGGCTGATCCAAGTGCCCTGATCTGACAGGATCTATTCCCCAAAGCCAACTATAGACCCCAAAGTTCTCAACACTCAGTAACCACTTCGGTGTCTTCACTGTCTGCGCTGTGTGATGCTCTGTGGTTTTCACTGCAAGGTTACAACAGCCCTCTTTTTTTATTTTAATTTTGTTTATGTATTTGGGTTTGTGTGTGTGTGCAGGACACCTACATATATATGCATGCAGGCCAGAGGTCAACATCAGGCACTGCTTCTCAGGAGCTATCCACTTGGTTTTTGAGATTGGGTCTCTTACCTGGACCTAATGAGACTCCAGCTACCATGGCCGGCCACATCTGATTTTTAAGTGGGAGTTAGGGTCCAGCTCAAATCCTTATGCTTGCCAGGCAAGCACTTTCCTGACTGAGCTTCTCCCCAGTCCCAGGAGCTCTCATTTTTAAAAAGTCATTTTCCCCCAAATACAAATACATAGTAAATGCTGAAACTCTAACAATATTTAACTTTAGAGAGGCTGCCACCCAATCATTCTCATTTCCTGTAACAGCATACAGATGAAGGCAAAACCTACCTCATCTTCAACAGAATGGCTGGTTCCAAGATTTTCACTCAACTGTCACCACATATCGATACCAACCCCCAATCCTATGAACATGCTCACAGCTGCTCTCAGACCAACTGATGACCCATCCCTGGTCCTTCCCCACCAAAGGCCACCCAAAAACTCTGACGCTTCCTAAATCACCAAAACCAGCCTGGGAAAGCCTCGCTTTGCCAGCTCTCTGGGATCTGTTAATAGACACCTGAGACAAACTCGGTGATTAGCATTTCCAAGCCAACTCCCCAAGTCCGTCACATTAACAAGAAGGCTGAAAGCAATGTGGATTATTACTAAAATCAGGGTCCAGTGCCAGTGAGCAAACTTTCACAAGGATGACTGGCAAGGGACCCAACTTTCTAAAAGTAACAGCCAGCACAGTGCCATACACCCAGTGAGAGTTCCCTCCAGTCACCTGCTGTTTGTCCAGAAGCAAAGATGTCAAACAAGACCGGGGTCTGGGTTCTAGTTCAAAAATCATTATCTGACCTGACATCACCAGAGAAAAAAATGTCAATCTTTTCTTAAACAGCTATAAACTTTCCAAGAATTTCCACCTTTGGGGGAGAGGGAGAGCAGGGGAGATGCCACCATGATCGCTGACTTTACCCAGAGGCTCAATCCGAAAGAACAAGCTGAGAGCCTTAGTTCCGACCACACTGCCTCAGAACAGAAAAATCCAGGGAAATCCCTGCAAGGCCTCAGACTTAATGTTGTATTTCCTTTTCTGAGTTGGAAAGCCCCAGAGCAGGCCCTATGCCAGCCCTGCCATCCAGTCTTAGAGATGGATTCAAACTGGTAAGGTCTGCAGGGAAAGAAGAGGGAGAAAGGAAGAGGCCAGGGGCAGTGATCCAGACTCTGGACCCAGGAAGTGGGGTAGCTATGACAGAGAGCTTGCCTCTCCCTGTATGCAAACGGTCCTGGTGCTGTCAGACCCACAGCAAGCTTTGCACTCACCCTTGAAGGTGGCACTACAGGGGACTGAGGAAACCTGAACATTCCTCTGAAGACTCAGAGGGGAACAAGGAAGCTGCTCTAGATCAGCTGCCACAGCTCAGCTTGTGTGGGAGGGGGGGATCGCGCCACAACAGGGACTCAAGGATGTAGCACTGAGGGGGATGGTGGTGAAGGCACTGCAGAGGAGGTAGGAACTGAAGACGGGGACTCCGCAGTGCTAAGTGGCCAGGCCTCAGGGAGAACGGAAGTGGACTAGACTGGAGAGATCTGGACCATTGGGTTGGTGGGGGAAGTGAGAACAAGACCGGGAGACAGACGTTTGGTCCCAGACAGGCTGGAGGAATTTGCGACTGAAGGGTGGAGGCTGTAAGACAGAAGCCAGGGGGCGGGACTGAAAGATAAGCGAGGGCGGGATCAGACAGACAAGGGGCGGGGCTTGGGGCAGCCGAGGGGGGCGGGGCCAAGAGGAGAGAAGGAACCTAGAAAGATGGAAATGGGGATGGGATGAGGAGGTATCGGAGCAGAGAGGAGCAAAGCAGGCCAGTAGCGGGGTGATTCTGGGGATACCAGCAGGGAGAAGTGAGAAGGCAAACGACAGGTCAGGGAAGAGAGGAGGCGAAGTGATGAGACGCTACAGGGGAAAAAGACAGCAGACAGGTGGGAGGGTAATGAGGTGTAGGGCTGGAGGAGGATAGCAGGTAGGAGGATGGGGAGTGAGGACATGGATGATGAAAATCTGAGGTGAGGGTGGGAAGAGCAAAAGGAGGTGCAGCGAGGGGGCGGGACCTACATGAAGTTGAAAGTATGTGTGGGGCGGAAGGAGAGCACAAGACCTGGAGAAGAGGGGGGAGCGGGGGAAGGTATGAGAGACACAGGGTGTCTGGGGCGGGGTATAGAGAGGGGCACAAGAGGACGGGTGGGGGACCCCGAGGGACGGGACCTCTATGCAGCTGAGGGTAGGTGTGGGGCAGAAAGGAGAGCTAGGAGATGGGCCTAGAGAGGGGAACTAGGGGGCGGGACCTGATGCAGAGGAGTAAGGTTAGAGGCAGAAGGGGGCGGGGCCCATATGCAACTGACGGTAGATGTGGGCACAGTGAACGGTGAGGGGGAGGACCTCATAAAGAGGGAGGAGCCAGAAACAGGACTTCCAGAGGATCAGCGGGGTAGAAAGGGGTGAAACCTGACAGAAGAATGAACAGCAGGCGGGCCTTGATGCAGAAAAAGCCAGCTGCCTGGGCCTGCAGAGCAATCAGCAAGCGGGGGGGGGGGGGGGGGAGATAATATAGAGGGAGGAGCCAGAGGACGGGGCGCCAAGGCGACAAAGTAAAGGGGTGGAGCCTGTGAGGGGGAGGGGGCGGGAGTCTGCAAAACAGTCGAGATTAGGTAAAGGGGGAGGGCCTGCAGATCAATAGGGGCGGGGCTTGATGTAGAGAAGGCGGGGCTGCCGCAGCGGGGGCGGGGCCTGATGGGCTGGGGGTGGGGCCTGATGCAGAGGGAGGGAACTGGACGACGGGGGCGGCGCCTGCAGAGCAGCCGGGGGGCGGGGCCGGGAGAGGGAGCGAGGGGCGCACGCCGTGGGGGGTGCGGCGGTCCCGGGACAACGGCCGGTGCAGGGGGGGAGGGTGGGAGTCCGCGGGGTCCCTGGGACCGCCTGGGGGCGCGAGGGCCGTGGCCCTGTGGTGCCTACCTGTCAGACGGATCTTGATGCTGGAGCCGTTCCTACGCGTCCCGGGGTTCGACATCTCCCGCCAGCGGCCGGCCGGCCTTGGATCCAGCGCCGCCGCCCCCCAGCCCGGCCCGGCCCGGCCCCGCCGCCGCCTCAAGGTTACGGCCACGGGCTGGGCGCCGGGGTCCGAGCCGGGACGCCAAGTGAGCGGCGCAGGCGTCGGGACGGAAGCCGCGGGCTGAAGCCGCAGGACCGAGCGCTCGGCTGCGCCGCCGCCCGGAGCCGCCCCTGGCCGGCCCAGCCCGGAGCCGCCGCGCTCGCAGCCGGACGCCCGCCGCCCTCGCTGCTTCCGCCGCCGCCTCCCGAGCTGCGCGCGCCCGTCGCCGTGCCGGCCCGGCCCTGCGCGGCCCCGCGCTTGCGTGCGTGCGTGCGCGCGCCCGAGGAGCACGGCGCTACGCCGACCGTGCTGGTCCTAGGCGCGCATGCGAAGGCTCCGGGAGCTGCAAGGTTCCTGCAGCCGGTGGGGATCCTTGAAACAGACTTCCCACAAGCGGAGCAATGATTCGGGGAATCGAATTGTTTTTCTAGAGTCGGCTCCCGATGAAAGCCAGAGGGCTGTGTAAAACCCCAAGCACCTTGCGCGCGTGCACCCACGGGCACGCAGTATCATTTTTGAGGAAATAGCGTTTAGATCCTGCAAGTTCCGAGAGAAGACTTCCCGCAATGATCAAGTGTTGGTGTCTCCTGTGCAACTGGTGTATTCGATTGACAAAGTGGCTAAACCCGCAGGAAATGAGGCATATGAACCAGCTAAACGAGATGAAGGATGTAAACTGGAGAGGTGGTGGTTTTGTGATTAGGGACCTGCATGCAATTAAACTGACCCAGGAAAGTAAGCAGTCGGATTTGCGATTCCCTGCCTTCAGAAGAAACACACACACACACACACACTGCGCGCTTGTGCACCCCCAGAGGCAGGTAAAAAAGTAAAAGCTGTGTTTTCCCCAGTAAGCAAACCCATCTCTATGGTAACACATTCTAGAGAGGAAATAAAACGTTCTTGAAAAGGCTGGGTGTGTTTACCAAACTCACATCTTGACACGAACCTAATTTGTTTCATAGACAGACTCTTGTAGCTTTATGTGGCTTCCTTAGCCGGCTTACCCACAGCACTTGGCTGCCCTATTTGGAGACCCAGGCTCGAACCTGTGATCCTCCTGCCTCAGCCTCCTGAGTGCTGGGATTACAGGCATGTACCACAACCCAACCGGCCTTGCCCTGGTGGTTTCTATGACCCTGTGCAGCCCAGAGTTTTGAATAGCTATAGTGAATTGTCTAAGAATAGGAACAGTATATGAGCAACAGTCAATCCAGACACTAGCTCTGTGTCCTTTTCTAAGCAGCTATTGATGAGGTTGAGACCCTAGGTCAGAATAAATCCATTTAAATGAGTCTTTGATGAGGGTTGGTATGATAGCTCCATTGATAAAGTGTTCATTGTGCAAGCATGAAGAACTGAGTCTTGTGGGAGGGGGTTAGATATTTTTTAATCTATATATGAGTGTTTTGCATGTGTCTTTATATGTACACCAGAGGGTGCTGGATCTGAAATTGGTGATTGTGAGCTACCATGTAGAGATACTGGGAACTGAACTCAGGTCCTCTGAAAGAGCAACAAGATAAATATATATATGTATATATACATATATATACATATATATATATATATAATTTTATTTTATGTGCATTAGTAAGTATTTAGCCTGTTGAACAGTGTCAGATCCACTGAAACAGGAGTTACGGACAGTTGTGAGCTGTCATGTAGGTGCTGGGAATTGAATCCAGGTCCTCTGGAAGAGCAACAAGTACTCTTTTTTTATATATAATTATTTTATTATTTATGTGCATTAATGTTTAGACTCTGTAATGGTGTCATGTGGGTGCTGGGAATTGAATCTGGGTCCTCCGGAATAGCAATAAGCGTCTAACCACTGAACCGTCTCTCCAGCCCCACAGGTGCTATCAACTGTTCAGCATCTCTCCAGCCTCCAGGACATGGTGTGTTGGTGAGTTTGAGTGATCCTAGCCATGGAGCAGAAAAGACAGGAGGATCCCTGGGGCTTATTGGCTAGCTAGCCTCAGTGAACTGGGGAGCCCCATGGCAGCTCATGCCAGAGACTGTCTCAAAAGAAAAAGGTGGGGGATGAGCTGTTGAGCAAAATGGAGGTTCACACACACACACACACACAGAGTCCAATGGCCCAAGTAACCCCCTTTCTTCTGGTAGTCTGGTCAGTATTCTGCCATGTACCAGGATATTTGTTCCCTCCTTATACCAATCTCTCCTCTCTCTCTCTCTCTCTCTCACACACACATTTCTTTCTTTCTCTCTAGCTCCCCTCCCTCTCTGTGGCTCTCTCTTCCCTCCCAGCCCCCTGTATCTCTCTTCTTCCCTTCTTGCCTGTCTGTCGTTCTGTCTCCTCAACCTTACCTCCCTCCTGTCTCCGCACCCACACCTCTGTGCACTTCCTTTCCTCTCAGAGTCTCTCCCCCACCCACTCTCAGCTCACAGGTGTTTTGTCTTTTCTCTAGCTGTTTCTGACCCAGGAATCTGGGATTGTTCCACCTCCTTGTTTTCTAACTGCCTGGGTGCCTGGAACTTTCTTTGCCTGATTATCAAAAGCTCCTGGAGGCTATTGGGAGCCTTTCCCTCTGCTCAGTAACTGGGAGGCAGGCGGAGCTGTCTTTAGTTAGAGAATCCTAACAGTGACCTGTCATACCCTGCTTCAAAGAGAAGACTGCCCTCCGTGGAAGCTAGTGAACATCTCTGTTGTGTGTGTCTCCATATGCTGCTGTTCATGTGTACACACACATCTGGAAGATACAGTCAGGCATTCACTGACTGTCTTTCCCCCATCACTCCCCACCTCAATTCTCAGACGATCTCTCACTGAACCTGAAACTTAGTGATCCACCTCAACAGGCTGGCCAGCAAGCTCCAGAGACCCTTATCTCTACCCTCCCTCCACAGGAATTCCAGATGTGGACTGCCACACCAGTGTTTCCTGCAGGTGCCTGGAATCCAGCTAGCTTCCTCATGCTTGCAGGGCAAGCAATCTACTGACTGAAGTATCTCCCCTTCCTTCTTGTCTTTGAGACAAGATCTCATCTAGCCCAGACTGGCCTAGAACTCAGTGTGTAGCTGAGGATGACCTCAAACTATTAATCTTCCTGCCTGCATCTCCTGAGTGTGGGGAATACCATCAGGCCTGGTTTTGTGCCCTCCTGGGGTTCCTGCTGCTAGGTAAGCTCCCTATCCATTGAGCCACATCCTCGGCCCACCCCTGCCTTTTGTTGTTATTCTTGTTTGGTTTTTCAAGACAGGGTTCCTCTGTGTAGCCCTGGCTGTCCTGGAACTCACTCTGTAGGCCAGGCTGACTTCAAACTCACTGAGATCCACCTGCCTCTGCCTCCTGAGTGCTGGCATATGCCACCATTGCCCAGCCCTTCCCTTCCTTTTTATTAGCAAACTTTAACCTGACTTTCCGCCCTAGACCAAGGTTTCCTGTGATGCTTAATGAATTTGAGTTACTTTCTCCTTCAGCAAAATAAGTCTAAAATATATATTCTAACCTTTCTCCCATACTCAATCCCATCACAGAAACATTGTCAGCTATTCATTTAATTAACTGAGGTAACAGTTCGAGGCCAGCTGAGGCTACATGAGATCCCATTGGAAAACAAAATGGAAGAGGTTTGGGAGATGGGTCACTTGGCAGAGTGCCTCCCACAGAACAAATGAGGACTGAGAGGAGCCAGACACAGCTGCAGCAGCAGTAGCTACCATCCCAGTACTGGGGAAGCAGACAAAAGGATCCCTAGGGCTTGCTGGCCAGCCAGGCTAGCTCAGTCAGTGAGGTTCAGCTCAATGAAAGAGCCTGCCTCAAGAAACAAAGTGGGACCCTGCAAGACGGCTCAGCAGGTAAAAGAGCCTGGCCATTCTGAGTTTGAACTCTGGGGTCCACACTGTCAAACGAGAGAACCGACTCCCACAAGTTGTCTATATCCTCCACTAATGCCTAGTTGAAGCCTCAACCCTGCATTAATGTATCCTGTTCTTCCAACAGGCCTTTGGGACCTTGCTCTAAATGACTCCTTAAACTAAATGTTATCAATAAGTGAGCTTTCATAATGTTTCAGAGGCAGCCTCAAGTAGCACAGGCTGGCCTTGAATTTGCTTGTAGCCGAGGACAACCTCAAACACTGATTGCCTTCGGATAACAGGAACGTACCACCAAGCCCCACCAGACCCATCTTCTTCAAAGATCTGAAATGCTGACCTTTATCCCAGTTGTGCAAAAGTAGAAACAAATACAGATAATGCGACAAAGATTCTCCCACACACACTAAGGAGTGGGAGCTGTGCCTCCTACATAAAGGCATGAATATAAACAAATTAAGTTAATTTGGGGCTTAATACCCTCTAGTTTGTGGGAGAGCAGGATGTGATCTAGTTATTGCTGCTTTTTCTGCCTGGGGAACACAATCTTTTTAAGGGTAGATAGGTCTCAGCTAGTTTCATCCATTTGTCCTGATGCACACCATAGCAAGATAGTGTGCAAACTGCAGTACTCCATCCTTCTCTCCATCCTCCTATCTGCCTAGGATCTCCCTAAGTCAGCAGTTCTCAACCTATGTGGGTGGATCCCTTTTACAGGGGTCGCCTAAGACTATTGGAAAACACAGATATTTACATTATGATTCATAACAGTAGCAAAATCACAGTTATAAAGTAGCAAGGAATGAATAATTTTATGGTTGGGGTCACCACAACATGAGGAACTGTATTAAAGGGTCACAGCGTTAGGTAGGTTAAGAACCATTGCTTTGAGTGAACCGGTCTCAGTCTCCGACATGGTGTTAAGGTTTCAATTTGGGGGCCCATGAGATGATTAAGCAGGTAAAGGTGTTGGCCTCCAAGTTCACCAAGATGCCCTAAATTTAATCCCCTGAACCCACACAGTGGAAGGAGAGGGCCAGATCCTGAATGTTGTCCTCAGACCTCTCTACACACAACCTTGACACATGCAAGCCCACACATATATACACACAGGAGGACAAATATGATTTACAGTTTTTCAAAATGTCAATTTCTTTCTTCTCAACAACTGTATTTTAGAAATTGCAATAGTATAATTTATATGCAATTACTAGTAACATTGTTTCATTCTTTTTTGTTATTCTGCAGGCTGTTGACAAATGTTTATAGCACAGAGATCTGCCTCCTGAGTGCTGGGATTAAAGGCGAGTGACACCACCACTCGGCTTCTTTGGTTTTTAAATTTATTTTTATTTTATGTGTATTGGTGTTTTGCCACGGCGTCGGCTCCCCAGGACTGGAATTACAGACAGTTGTGAGCTGCCATCTGGGAATTGGGATTTGAACCTCTG